TTTTTTATTATTTAATCCCTCGTGTCGTTTAAAGTCAGGGTAAAGTTTGTTTGGTTGTTCTGAACTCCAAACGTCCTGTAAAGAATCTAAATTAAAACAATAAAACCTGTAAAGTAAAAGCCCTTTAGTGAAGAAGACTGCGACGAAGGAAAACATTTTTTTGATTTAAATCAAATTAATTCTTCAAAAACAACAAACTTTAAAATCTGGATCGTTTTCAACAGAATCCTGATTTTAATCAAATACATTTCCAAGTATAAATAAGCTCACATCTTCTTTTAATATTAAAAGAGTATTTTAACTCAAATTCATATTTTCCGTCCCCTCGTGCGTCAGAGTTTTAAACTAAGATCTTCTCAAAGACGTTAGACCTCAGAGTGTGTGTTGAGGGGGACTCTCAGCTACTACCACGCCACGTTTTAGCTCAAAACTCTAAAAGTGGTCGAGTTATCGTCGTCGTCGTGTTGGTTAAAGTCAGTCAGGCTGAACATGTTCAAACTAAAACATTTAAGCTGAAATAAAACTCTTAAACTCTCTTTTACACCCTGTCCTGAAGGCTGGTCTTTTAAACAGAAAGAGGTCAAATCCATCTCATGGCACATTTAAAATAATTAGGAATAAAATAAATAATTTAAAATAAGGTCGTAAGATGGAAATTTAAACGTGGATTTATTGTTTGTTTATTTAGTTGAGTCTTATTTTAATTCAATCTCCAATCAGACTGATCCTGAAGGGAGCAGCGATGACTCGATCGATTGTCGTTAAAAATGTGTTCAATATGTTTGATTATTAATGATCGCACTATATCAGGAAGTGTGACCCTGGAGAGACTGAACTGTGATCGGCTGAATGTTTCTGACGCAGACACTTGATCCACTTTTCTTCTGTACGTTTTCAGCTATTTCAACAAATCACACATCAAAACCTTCGGCTCTTTCGGGACAATCCTGCTGTGCTGTTTGAAATATTTGGCCTTTTATGACGTTTTTTCCTCATGAAAAAAGAATTGAGCTTATTTTCCATCCTTCAAATCTTTGGATGTGTTTACAGCCTTTTACTGCTCCTTTCACATCTCGTTCTGCTTCAGCTTCTTTCAGCTTCCTTCTGCAAATTTAAACGTTTCAGCTACTTTCAGCTGTTTTTTCAGCTGTTTTGTGCTCCTTTCAGGGTATTTCTGCTAACTACAACATTTTTGTGCTTCTAACTTCTTTTTGATAATTTCAGCTTGTTATGCTCCTTTCAGCTTTTTTTTGCTACTTTCAACTTTTTTCTGCTATTTTAACTATTTAGCATTTTTATGCTAATTTTAGCTTTTTCAGCTAATTCTACATTTTTTACACTTATTCAGTATTTTTCAGTCAAATTCAGCAAAAATATGCTTTCTCCATGTCCTTCTTGTAATTTCAGCTTCTTTCTGCTTTTTTAGCTAGTATTTAGCTATGCTATGCTAATTTAAGCTTTTCAGATAATTCACTATTTTGTGCTCATTTCTGCTTCTTTCAGCCTAATTGGGCAAACATGTCTTTTTTTTTTTTTTTTTTGCTTTCTTCCACTAATCTGGGACCCCGTGAACATAATTTCGCTCCACCACATGTACCACATGAGGTGCGAATGACAATAAAGAAACTCTGACTCTGACTAATTTAAGCTTGTGTTACCTTTTCAACTACCAGTTTAGTGTTTTTAGCTAATTTCAGCTGTTTTCAGGTGAATTAGAGTTTTTCATGGTAATTTTTCAGCCTAATTAACTTATTTGTGGTAATTTCAGCTTGTTCTGCTTCATTCAGCTTTTTTCTGCTATTTCAGCTACTATTTAGCTTTTTATGCTAATTTTAGCCTTTCCAGCTAATTCAACTTTTTCTTAGCTCATTTCAGCGCTTTCCATTTTCATCTGGTAGATTAAGGTTCTTTCTGCCTTTTTTATCTACTTTTCAGGGGGTTTTTTTGTGGCTAATTTCAGCTATTTTTAGTTAATTTCCTCATTTGTGTGCTCATTTCTGTTAATTTATACCTAATTCAGCAAAAATGTGTTCTTTCTGCTTTCTTCTGCTAATTAAGGCTTGTTCTTCCAATTCAGCATGTTATTTTTTAAGCTAATTTCAGCTGTTTTTCAGCCAGTTCTTTAGCTATAAACTAAATTCACACTGCGTTTTTGCAGGAAAAGTAATTTCTCTGATTAATCTTTAAATTTATCGCCCGTTTTGTTAAAGTTCTCTCAGATCGCTGTTTCTGTTTCACAGCAGAACATTGAAACAAGCGTCTTATTGTTTTGTTTTTACTTGTTTACTGTTTTGTTTGTGCTCGCTGTAGTTGTGCGGCGGCTCTAACGTCTGAGCGTGCTCAGTGTTTGCAGCGGCTCTAACGTCTGAGCGTGCTCAGTGTTTGCGGCGGCTCTAACGTCTGAGCGTGCTCAGTGTTTGCGGCGGCTCTAACGTCTGAGCGTGCTCAGTGTTTGCGGTGGCTCTAACGTCTGAGCGTGCTCAGTGTTTGCAGCGGCTCTAACGTCTGAGCGTGCTCAGTGTTTGCAGCAGCTCTAACGTCTGAGCGTGCTCAGTGTTTGCAGCGGCTCTAACGTCTGAGCGTGCTCAGTGTTTGCGGCGGCTCTAACGTCTGAGCGTGCTCAGTGTTTGCGGCGGCTCTAACGTCTGAGCGTGCTCAGTGTTTGCGGCGGCTCTAACGTCTGAGCGTGCTCAGTGTTTGCAGCAGCTCAAACGTTCGTTCAGGCAGGTCTGAGCTCGGCCTGCCCTGACCTTTGACCCCATAGAGTTGCTGAGTATCAGCGCAGACATGAGGGGTGTTTGTGTGTTGTTTATTTATTTCTATAAATATAAAGATAAACGCATAAAGAGGACGTGACTGGGACATGCAGCCGGCTGGTGAATCTCTGTGGCTCAAACCTTCATCACTATCAGACAAAAGTTTTTTGATCGTTCTTTATTTTTGGTTTTTAGCTGATTCTGATACGAGTATCTCTAAAATAAATAAAAAAAGGCAGAATCTTTTTAAAAAGACTTCAAGTCTTTGAAGGCACCATCCAAAGGCAACTAAAGGGTGCTATAGCTGTAATGCTTGTCTGCGTGCTTGTTCGTCTGTTAGCAAAATATCCCGTGAACCACAAACTGGATTTAAATTAAACTCTTCCAAATTCATCACCGGACGCTCGTCTCCGACCGATTAACTTTTGGACTCCACCTGATTCAAACTGGCGGCCACAGCCAACTGATTTTAGAAAACACAAAAATGGCTCCAGTTCAACCTATTTTTCAGACATTGAGTTTTGTGTGGTAGTAGCTGAGAGTCACCCCCAACTCATATCTCAACCACTGATAAATCAAACAAGATTTTAACTGAAACGTTGG